TGGTCTCTGACATCTCCCCCTTCTATACGTATAGCAAAACAAAGAAAGGAGGCCCAAATGTTTTTGCCATGACGGGAGAGGGGTGACAGAGGCTCTATCCCTGATAGGTTCCATTATCGGCTGTCGGTCCATGCAGGCGTCCCCACATGCCCCGAAGGAGGATGGAACGATGCAGTTTTTTACAGGGGGCGGGTTTGAATCCAGGAGGAAAGAGTATAGGGTCTGCATAACCGCCATGCAATAGAGTATGTCATCCAAGGCACCCAGGATGGTGGAGCACTTTAGTCTCCCTGCCTTCTGCAGTCCTGGCTGCACCCTCAATCCCCTATGTAGTGGGCTCCAGCTCCTAGGCACAGGTGCATCCTCCCCTGGGCAGAGGGGCCTGTGCTGATATGGAGTCTTTATCTGGTTCATCGAGACCATGATCATGGAGATCGAGGCGATGGTAATGAACCTGAATTTGTTTTGCCTGAAGTTCGGCCAGCTGACTGCGCACTAATCGAGTTAGTCGAGACATGGCCCAAGGGCCAAATGTCAAGACAAGAATGAGGCCAACCAAGGGTCCCAGAAGGGACGGCAGGAGGGTGATTAGCCAGGGAGATGCAGAGAACCAATTTTGGAACCAGCCTAGCTCTTGATCTCTTTCTTTTTTGCGCTTCTCTAAGCCTTCCCGGACTTTGGCCATGCTATCCCTTGCTACTCCTGTGTGATCAGTATAAAAGCAGCACTCTTCCTTAAGAGCGGCACACAGACCTCCTTGCTGTAAAAAGAGGAGGTTGAGCCCTCGGTGGTTTTGGAGGACCACCTCTGGAAGGGAGGTGAGGGAGGATTCAAGGGCGGAAATGCCTCGCTCAAGCTGCGCTATATCTTCATCTATGGAAATTCTAAGCTCTGAATAATGTTGATTAGATAAAACTAGGGAAGCTATGCCAGTACCAGCCCCTGCAGCTCCGGCCCCCAGGAGGACAGCCAGAGTGACTGCAGTCACGGGTTGGGGCATCCTACGCTTTCCTCCCTTCAATAAATTTTGTAATTGTGGGCGGTCTGACCCCATCCCAGAGAAGAAAAAGAAAATTTGTAGGTGGGAGCTATAAACTATAGTCAGGTTGTATTCCTCCCAGTCCTTCTTGGCTTGTGGGCGTTGGCAAATGTTGATCGCGCGCTATCACCGCCGGCATGATCTCCTGAAGCTTATAAGAACCTTCTTAATAGACAAAATCTTAGACATGTTAGCAATATAACAATGGTGAACTTTATCAGAGCAAAATTATGAGTCCTTGGAGCCTCAACAAAACATCAGGATAGCCAGAGAATGAAATCTGAAATGTGTTATTTATATATCTCTCAAGTCTCATATATATTTTGACAAAAATTAATAAAATACATTTAGAACAGAATTATTAGTTCTAATCATATTTCTATAAGTTTTGATGAACAGTTCATCAAAAGGATCTGGAATTGTATCAATTTATTTATATTCAAGGCTCAATATTTAAGAATCTAGAGGTAAATAACAGTCTGTATTCAGACTGGCAGCTTTAGAGCACCTTTGTCCTGCAGCTGCCAATATATGGTGTGACCAGGCAATTCAGGATTCATAAAGGCGGGTCAATGTCCTATAAAGACTTGTATCCTCCTCCTGACATTATGAAAACATCAGGACCTTTTTAAATATCAGTGAGGAGATCATAGGTGTAACTTTGTGACTTGGCCTGGTGGTGATGAGGAATACCTGTAGTGGGGGATATGAAAAATAAGTACCAATTCTTAAGAGCTCTTGAAGTATATGTAAGGCTGTTGTCTATATATGAGCTCAAGGCATTCCTAAGATTAAAAAGCAGTGAAAGAAATGGTGTATTATTTTTTATTTCATAACCATAAATCATAAGGACATAAGCCTCGTGGGTAAGTAAGCTTCCATAGGGAGAGAATTTATAATTGTTGGACAGACATATGAAAAGGTGTCAGGATATCCTGTAGAGCTATTTGTCATTTTATAGACTCACAAAACTCATAGTTTGATATAAATATAATATCATCTGTACAATAAATGTATTGTAAGATATATGTACATACATATACATGTATACATAAATATAGGTTGGGGGACTGTGAGGAAGCTATAATTGACAGTTAGTTTTGATAGTTAATCTGTATATATAATGAGGAACTTTGCTCAATTAATGAGTCCTGGATAAACATAACTTGCATTTCCTGCTCTGTATGTCAGCTTTGGCCTCCATCATGGTAGGGTGAGTAGGCAAGTTAAAAGTGAAATGCTGACAATCTTTAGGTTGAGGAAGTATGGTAAAGAAGCAATCTTGTATATCTATGACTATTTTTTTTTTTTTTTTTTGATTTCTGGGGATGGCCCTGGGAGATGGCAAGCCAGGCTGTGAGACTTTTCTTGGCTTTAATAAATTTTATTTAAATTTTTAAGGACCTGTAACAGTCTATAAGCCTGATTTTCCTAAATAAAAAGATATTGGGGTGATTTAAGGGCTGGTGGGGGACTTTATATGCCCAATATTTAAGTTTTTCCTCCACCAGACAGGTAGCAATTATAATTTTCTCAGCATTTAAAAGCCATTGTTTGATCCAGATAGGAGAATTAGATTTTCCTGACCTTCTGGCTACATTATTAGCTTGACCTAGGCCTGTAAGAGACGAAGAAGTAATAGTCGTCTTAAGTACTTGGCCAATCTTTTTCTGAAATATAAGAAACATCTATGTTTATGTCTAGCAAGCCAATTATCTTCTTTAAGTGTTTAGTTGTTTGGAATATTTAAATTCCTGAACCCAGAAGGCCATATCACTAGAATCCACATCAGCAGCTCCCTTAGGCGCTGCCCTATATGAATCTGAATTGTACAATGATCTTAATCTCTCCAGTAAAGTCAGAATAGCACATCCCTAGGGCAACCTTGTACAGCCGAGGAGCTACGGCCTATAATTAGCCCCAGTGTCCCTTCTGAGGCGGTCCATAGACTTTTGTATTAAGGTATACATAAGTTTATTTTTAAAGCCTATATATCTATCTCAGACCTCAATAAAAACCTTATCCATAGATCTAACTTAGGCATACATCCTCAGTATCTCTGAGTTACTTATTGAGATTTATGTATTATTTATAACATATCTAGATGTTTATATGTCATATTTCTCTATCCCAATTATTTGCATTACACATATAATAAACTATTTCTTAATGTTCTTAAACATTCTTTATATCTAATCATTTATATCCTTATAAAAACTTTACACTAAAAGCATTTTTGTATTTAATTCATCAGGAGATATAGGTGATTGATTACTGAGAGCAGCCAATGTGATGAATTCCTTTAAACAAAGGAACAGTCAAAGTTTATTTTGAAATCTGTTTGGCAAGCTACCTTTTCTATGAATTTGGATAGCAAGGCAAATTATCTTTTAGGCCTGGTAAATGGGGATATAATCTAAATGATCTCAATGCATAGTTTGGACAAAACCCTGGTAGTAAGGGGTATGGCAGTTTTGTCCAAAGCTTAAACATTTTAAATGCTAGGGGGCTAAGTAATGAATTGATTATATGAAATTTAGCATACTCAGCATGTATATAAATACGATTTTGTATACATTAGAAGATTTGATCATTTATGATGATTAACCCTTTATTTGTATGCTAATAATTATCTCTAATAGCTTATAGCTTAAGTACAACTTATCCTTAACAGTTTACAGTTTAGGTCGGCCAATCAATCAATAAGTTTTATTTCTTAATTATCTTTAATTAAAGTAAACTTATTCTTAACAATTTATAAGTTAGTTGTCTTTATAAACTTAGAACTTAGGTTTTATACCTGTCAGGTTTAGCCTTTAAAATATTAAGTTTGTACTGAAGTTATTTTAATACAGAAACAGGAACTCTTATTTAAAAATATAATATATGAGGAGAGTAACACATTAATAAATCCTTTAAGGAGTATCATGAAATGAGATAAGCACAGTAAAACAGTAAAACAAAGGAGGATTTTTTTTTTTTTTTTTTTTTTTTTTTTTTTTGTAGCAGCTGCACCCAGTCTGTATCAAGCCAGATAGCCACCGGAAATGGCAAGGTGAGGAGAAGGGTGGAGATGACTCACAGGCAGAAGTGAGCTGAGATGCAGATAGCAGATAGTTAGGTTCAGAGGGAAGAAAGCAGATGTTTAGGATTCCAACCTCCAAACATCTTCGGGGGTCTGATGAATCCATACAGGTCTTAGCAGGGTGTCCCCTAAGCAGGACCTGTTTTTTTGAAATGGGTTAATCGAAGTTCTTGTACTTGGCCAAGATTTTTGTAAATTACCAAGAACTTAAAAGTCTACCCAGAAAGAGGAGAGAGAAAAAGACATTTTTTTTAGGAGAGCTGGGAGTTGCCATTAGTTTTTAAACCGGCTCTGGCTGTGGCACTTGCATTGTTATTTAAATGATGGCTGCTGGAGTGAGCTCCTAGTTAGCAATTAGAAGTTTAGGCTCAAGTTGGTCCTTAGATCAATTTAGTTTTGGCACACAAAAAAACTGTTTGTAGCAAGACCCTGCTGCTATGGAGAACATAGTGAACTTCATTAACTCTAGTTTACACTCTCAGGAGGTCTAGTAGTGTGATAATTTTGTGTTACCTCCTTGTAAGACCCTGAATGAAGTAAGGGCAGGTTTCTCCCTAAAAGGGAGGGGTTAGAATCTCTGTCGCTTATCATAGTCTGAGGTAAATGAATTTCATAAGGTTGGCAGCTTTTAGGGGTCTCCTAAATCTTTTTTTTTTTTTTATAAACCTTTAGGATATCATTAACATCAATCGTCCCTTCTTGGGGAAACCAGGAACAGTCCTCTTAAGTGACTAAAGAATTTGTTGAGGTCTTTTTTTTAACGCCTTATCCCTCGTGTCTTGAGAGCCTCTTTAAAGCCCTTAAGGAAAAAGGTAATGGGAAGAACTTCCCCATCCCATGGTTAAGCCTAAATTTAGACTAACCTCGTCCTTCCAGATCTCCTCCGGATCGTCAAGAAAGGGCATCAAGTCGGGCGGTCTCAACGGACGATCACCAAAAATCTCCACCAGACGTCTGTGCTTTCCTGGAGAAGGACATTCAACTCCCAACGAGGCGAGGGTCGAGCCACCACGTTGGGCACCAGTTGCCCCAGCCAGCGGGGTATCAACGGGGGCGACCCACCTGTGGGAGAGAATGAGAGGGACGGGGGAGACACAAAAGGATGACAGCAAGACAGTGTGTTCTGATCAAGTTGTAAATTTTATTCTCCTCAGCAAGGCTTATATAGCATGGGAGGGGAAGGGGAGGAGGAAAGGGGTGCACGACCTGCCGTATGTGCAGGTGAAGGGGGACGTGCAGGTGAGGGGCTACGTGCAAGTCGTACAAGTTGTGAGGCTGCAGAACAATGGTCAGGGCCCATTGTTCTGTTGCTATGCTACCTGACCTGCCTGACCTGTTCTTTATCTTCGGGGGCATCCGGTTTAGGGTAGGGGCTTGTTCTCTGGCTTAGCTAGTACTTTTCCATGGTCCATGTTTGGTCTCTGACAATTGAGTCCACTAAAATGTTACAGGTCCAAGATAGAACTCTTCACTGAATTAGATAGAACACAAAATTCAATGGCTTTTAATGGTTATTGCTAATTATAAACATCTTACTTTAGATTAGGTAAAAATGAAAGATAATTTTCTTTTTAGGAAAGACCAAGAACTTAGGGCAGTTTGCCTCATTTACCCGCTGACTTTGCATGGATAAGCATTGGCATTTGAGCTGTCTGAATCACACCCCATTTTGGTTTCCTGGCCCGGAAGCCTTGAGGCACAGCTGTGTTCTCTCTAGCTCTATTATGAGCCCGTTTGTGCTAAGTCTTTAGTGTAAGGCCTGACCACACCAGCTGCTCATGAGCCTTTCTGTCAACTGAAAGCCACTTGCATCTCTTCCTGTGCTGCTGGAGAATGCTGCATCTCCTCCTGTGCTGCTGGAGAATGCTGGGGACTTTCCCAATGCTTGCCTGTTTGAACCTGCCACATTCATACCACTTTCTTCTGTCCTGGGCCAAGGGCCACACCTTCCAGATAGAAGCAGGATATCAATTACCTTTACTCTGTCTATCCACTCAAGGAAGTCCAGCATTTTGTTCCTGATTTGGCATCGTGCCTGAAAATATAGGGGCAGTAGTTCCATACCATATTAACACTTAAGTTTTATTTTACTTTAAATTGTGCTGTTCCTTCAATATTCTGGAGATGTCTTTCAATTGGTTTTGATTTAAAAAAAAGAAAGAAAAGAAAAGAAAAGTAAACCCCAAATCAATTTTCTCTGTTCTTACCATCTGCCCTTTCATTTGGGTGTTGTCTTTGGAATTCAGATTGTAGTCTCTACATTGATGGTCTGGGGAACCCCTTCTGTTCCGCTACTAAATACACTACCAACAGTGAGAAGGTAGTAGTTTTAACTCTGAGTTAGGGAGAAAAAGTAGGATGGAGAATGAGTGGTGGAGGAGTATGCATCAAATATTGCCTTGTGGTAATGTCCTGCAGCACAGCTATTAAAGGGTAGAGCCAGAGTTTGGAAGGGATTATGGTGGAAGCTTTCAACCCTGGCTTGCCAATAAAATCCCTAGGAAGTTTTTTAAAAAGTTGATTATTAGATTATGTCACTATAATATCCAGTTTAATTATTGTCAGTAGGGATCCAGGTATCAAAAACTTGAAAGAGTCATACATATATAGTTATATATGTTAGAATGCCTCTATCTGGCATTAATAGATACAGACAGAATCTTCCAAAAGTACTAGACATTTAAAATTGTCTTCCTTGTGCTGTTGGGAACACTCACCACTCTTTTTGTTTTTCCTGAGACATCCTCTCTATGTATCCATGGGTAGCCTAAAACTTGCTACATAAACTAAGCTCACCTTCAACTTGCACTGATGCTCCTTCCTCTGTCCCATGAGTACTAGCAAGCACATCTGAATAGTAGCACTCTTCAGATCCACTAGAAAGCATCATATGATTTTCAAATTTTAACTCTTATCTTAGTTGAAAGTAATAGACACAGGCGATATAAATTTGCACCCCAAATAATTGAAATAGTTATTATAACTCAGAAATCTAAGCAAATAGTAACTCCACTAAAGTTAAATAAAAAAATATTAGATTGAAAAAAGCAAAGGAAAAGATTTAGTTAATTTTTTTTTCCTTTCTTTTTTTTTTTTTTTTTTTTTTGGTTTTTCGAGACAGGGTTTCTCTGTGTAGCTTTGCGCCTCTCCTGGAACTCACTTGGTAGCCCAGGCTGGCCTCGAACTCACAGAGATCCGCCTGGCTCTGCCTCCCGAGTGCTGGGATTAAAGGCGTGTGCCACCACTGCCCGGCCGATTTAGTTAATTTTAATGATATAAAACTCTTCATAAGTGATGTAACTTTGCAGCCAGATTTGAGAACCTTTGTATCTTAGAGTGAAAACTTAGGAGTACATGATCATTTTGGAGGATCCACATTTCTAATTTGGTTCAAATGTCCAGAAGCCAGAGGAGTCTGAGAGAATTGGAACCATTCCCTCAAGCTCGTCTATTAGGGACCCTTCTGTAGTCATACTTTTCTTTGGGTCACCAGCTCATGAATAATGACATGGAGACTTATTGATTATGAAAGCTTGGCCTATAGCTTAGGCTTGTTCCTAACTAGTTCTTATAACTAAAATTAACTCATTTTTATTAATCTATGTTCTACCATGTGTCCTTATCTTGCACCTCCTGTTTCCTCTCCATGTCTCCTGGCTTCTCCTGTGTGCCTCAATTCCTCCTCCTCTTCCTTTGTCTCCCTGGAAATCCTACCTCTACCTCCTGCCAAGCTATTGGCCGTTCAGATTTTTATTACACTAATCACAGCAATACATTTTCACACAGTGTACAAATATCCCACAACACCCTTCCTGGAAAACTTAGGATAAAAAGGGGTTTGTGTAAGATAATGAAACTATGCTTGATTCTGGAGAATAGATTTCAAACACATATTCTTCATATGCCCTTTAGCATAAGCATAAGCAAAAACATATGGGCTGTGGCATCATTTCCAGTAGGCTATAAGTATAATCTTTATATAACTTCCTTTGAGGCTAGGCATTTTCCCACAAGTCTCTCTGGAGTATACTTCTTTCCATATAAATTTCCTAGTCTATGGTCATACCACCCTGAACTCTGATTTCATCTGATCTCGGAATCTAAGCAGGGTCAGTCTTGTTTAGTACTTGGATGGGAAGCCATACCAATTGCCCAACAGTTCTTTCTCTGTTTTGTCTTTATGCTTTAGCTCCTGACCTGCTTACTCGAAATGCAGTACTTGTAATGCCCTGTTTTTTTTCCAAATCTGAGATGTCCTTCCGGGCTGTAATCACATTCTGGCCTTGCATCCCAGAATCACTGCAGCCAGATTTAGTCTTTTGCTTTATAAATATCATTCTATTCTTCCCAATACCAAGTTATTATTGTTATTAAAACACTCCACCATCCAATGTTGTGTTGTCTATTTGTACATGAATATTTAATAGCCTCTCTATCTTGTGAGGACTGCTAGGATGCAAGGCCTGTCACCTTCTGCAGAAGCTGAACAGTCTAGTTTCTTGCTGTTTCTTTCCCCTGCTTAGTGTTGTGGACACCTCACTTAACTTCAGACAAGTGAACTTCAAAGCTGGTGAAGCTGTTGTAGAGTTTGTGGCACATCATTGTAGCCATAACTGCAGCAGAACCAGATTCTGACTCCAGGGCAATAGAGCACTACAGGACCCACCCCCCAAGCTCCCCCACCGCCGCCCGCGATTGAATGCAGATGAACAATGGTGCTTTCATCATATTCTGCTGCAGCTCTTCCTGACAACCCTTACCTGTTTTATTCCCAAATATCTATTTATTAAGCTACTATAGACCCTTTAATATTTCCTCTTTTTTTGGTTAGAGTTTCTTCTATTACTTTGTTATTTTATTCTATTATTTTAGTTGAACTAAAAGTTAAAATTTGAAAGTCAAATGATGCTTTCTAGTGGGTCTGAAAAGTGCTACTAGCCAGTTGTGCTTGCAGTTCCAGTATTCAGAGACAGAGGCAGGAGGATAACTGCATGCTAAAAGCTAACCTGGTTTATGAAGCAAGTTTCAGGCTACCCAGAAATACACAGTGAGGCTATCTCAGAAAAAAACAAGAAGAATAAAGAGTGCTCCCAGTTGCAAAAAAAGGCAATTTTAAATATCTAGAACTTTTGGAAGATTCATCTGTGTCTGTTAATTATTGACTGATGCATTTTGGCATGCTATAATAATAATATTTAATATTACTGACTTTTAAATTTGCTTTTCTGCATTTTGCTTTTATTGTGCCTGCAGGTAATTTGAGCAAAGAGATGGTGCCTCTCAAACAGCCGATGGCAAGCATGCCCTTTCTACTTTCCTTACTATTGACTTTTTTAACTGTGTCATCTACTTCTTGGTGTCAGAGCAGTGATACAGCATCTGCAAAAGCAAGTAATGGCGCCCCATTCCCTTGGAATAACATTCGACTCCCTGAGCATATCATTCCACTTCATTATGATCTCATGATCCATGCAAACCTCAGCACTCTGACCTTCTGGGGAACAACAGAAGTAGAAATCAGAGCCAGTCAGCCCACCAGCACCATTATCATGCATAGTCACCAGCTGCAAATATCTAAGGCCACCCTCCGGAGAGGAGCTGAAGACAGGCTGTCTGAAGAACTGCTGAGTGTCCTGGAGTATCCTGCTCATGAGCAAGTTGCACTGCTGTCTCCCCAGCCACTCCTTGCTGGACCCCTGTACACAGTTATTATCAACTATGCTGGAAACCTGTCTGAAAGCTTCCATGGATTTTATAAAAGCACCTACAGAACCCAGGAAGGGGAAATGAGGTAATGGGAAATGTTTTCAGCTTCCAGTGTGCCCACACTAAATGTATTATTTAGATGCTTGTTCCTTTCACACTGAATTCTGTTCAGTCATGTTTAACATCTTTAGCCTGTTAAAAATGACTAAATCTTTTTCCTTGCCTTTTTTTGCCTCATTTTTTTCCGTTTCATTTTCATTCCTCCAGCTTTAGCAGAGTAAATGTCTTTTTGCTTATATAATTAGATTTCTGGGCTATAATAAATATTTTAATTCTTTGCATTAGTTTCCTGGGGCTGTCCTAACAGGTGCCACAAACTAGATCCCTTAGAATAGTCTTGATTTTCTCCCAGTTTTGGAGGATAGAACAATGAAATCAAGTCCTGAGTAGACCTGTGTTCCTCTTACTCTGGATGAAATCCCTCCTTGCTCTGTCGTCTCCTGATCCTCTCAGCTCTAATTCTCTTTGCACCCTGAGTGTCTAGAATCCAAATTTTCAAATCAGAATACCAGTCATATTGCTTGAGGTCCAGTTCCAGCCGCATCTTAGCTTTATTTCACTTGCAAAGATCCCATTTCCAAATATGGGCACACTTGGACATACTGAGAGTCAGGACCTCGACATGTCTTTGGAGGCAATCACAGGTAATGTTTTTCTCTCCATTAAAAATTTTTTAAAGATAACTCTAATGCCTTGCTTTAGTTCTTGCTTTAGCCCACACTTCTGGGCCAATGTTACTGATATGACCAGCTAAGGACTTCATCAGTTGGAGGGGCCACAGCAAGACTGAGGCTATGGCAAATTTATTGAGAGAAATCAGACTTTTTATACCCTTATCAGAAACAGAATATAGGGGCAATTTCCATGATCAATACAGCTGTAGGTGCCAGGCTACAATGATGTTTGCTGTTGGGAACATAACAGGAAGGTCCTTGTGCCCATGGATCTCCAGAGAAACCAGGAATGTTAAGCACACAGGATTGTCTTTCCAATGGGAAGGAGGAAAAACCTGTTCTTCCATCCAGAATGCTGAGATTTGGAAGTGGTTAACAGCCTTATCTGTTGGGCCAGGCCATATCAAGCTCCTACAACCAGGATCAGAGGTGGCTAATAGTCCAAATGACCTCTACATTATCTGTATGACAAGACCAGGCCAGACCCTTAGGTCCTTAAGCTAATACAGGTACTGTGTCTCTAGAGCGTACCTTCTTGGAAGAAATGATGTATTCCCTAAGTTTCTATGTAATTATGATTCCTTGTGCAGTGGGGATTGTATTACACCAGGAAAATTTTTTTTTCCAAATTATACATTGGGAATAAACTGCTTGTTATTAGACTCCCCGAAATCTTATCCAGGTTGACAAGGTCAATCTGCATCGGCTGTTCATTCTTATCTCTTTTGGGGGTTCACTTCCCCACCTGGATACCTCAGTGACTCCCTTAGTTTACAAGTTACATAGGGTACACAAGATTAATATCTTAGACCAATTGTCTGTCCAGCTTCCATGCTTTCTTGATTTCTAAGGGAACATACAGAAAAACACAAACTGGCCTAAATGCTTCACTACCTGAGGGATTACCTCCATCTCTCAGGAACTGAAAGACATACCATGCTGTCACGGACTGGCCCATCGGGGGGTACCATGACCATAGGAGAACCAAGGCTTGGGTAGTCAGGAAGGCAAGGATTCGGCAAATGACAGACAGACAACACACTCAGAAGTGGTTTGAATCTGCTGCAATTTTACTTCTGCACATCAGTAGTTTATATACAGAAAAGAAAACTATAAAGTCATACAAGGAACAGCAAGAGCTTGGCAATAATTCAATTACATCATCTTTAAAAAACAGCAAGCACACAATTATTAATCAGTGCTAGACATATCCCTTCACCCACAAGAACTTTATGACCCAAAGAGCAGTCTGTGATTTCTAAACTTAATACAGTTCCTAGACTTGTGTAGACTTCTTGTGGTTGCAGCTGTGTCCTTTATCTTACCCCAGCAGTTTTTTAGTTTATAATACATTTTTACTTTTCTGGTTCCCATGGCACACTTAGCCAATTTGGATGCTGCAGACCCTCTCTGAGTCTTTTTTAGTTTTTTTTAACCATATATCTCTTTTAACATAAAACCTTTTTACCTGTTGGAATATGGACTCTTGTACTTTTACACCTATAAGGGGAAGGGGTTCTGATGTAATCCTTAAGTTTCCCATGCTGAACTTCCTTAACAGAGGGGCCCACCATCTGCCTCCTATGAGATAACATTTTCTACCATAAATCACTTTAGTTGGGATTCCTAAAGGATTCCTAGTGGGTGAGTGTTCATTCCCTAGAAGTGCCTGAACTATTATACTTTCTTTATCTAGTGGCTTGGGGTCTTTAAAAAATAGCTCATTCTGCTATATTTAATTAAGATCCATGTCTAGCTTCCCCTTTCCTCCATAGTTCACAACCCAAGCATTCATTAATTTTGGCTGTGCTTCATAGATTAATTAGAACATTATCAGAAAAGCAGTTAAACAGAACCCATAGCCCAGGGAACTCATGATCTGCGAAGTACATCTTCTTTGAGAAGGAAGCATAACACAGGCACTCTGCCAGGGACCTCCATGGAGCTTAGTCCCGTGGGACACGTATCTCCCGGCCGCTGTTATTGACATAATGTTCACATCACACGGACGACACTGGAGTTGGTGTGGCACCATGCCCCAGGAGCTATGGACTCTAACCTAGAAAACCTACAATGCATGCCTCTCAAGGCAGCTAGGCCAGGCCAACTTAGTGATTACCTGTAGGGGAGCTCTTTTATTTAGTAGTTTTTATTTTTATTTTTTATGCTTAAAAGTATTTTTGCCTATATGTATGCTAGTGCAGCCCTGAAGTACCTGTGCCGGGGAGGCCAGAAGACAGCAGTGGAGCTCTTGGGACTGGAATTATTGATGATGATGAGCTGTCATGTGCATGCTAAGAGTCAAACCCAGGTCCCCTGGAAGAGAAACCAGTGCTCTTAACCACTGAGCAGCCCATCACCACAGACCTCAGATTAGGAACAGATTACAAATTTCTCTCTCTCTCTCTCTCTCTCTCTCTCTCTCTCTCTCTCTCTCTCCCTCTCTCTCTCTCTCTCTCCCTCCCTCTCTCTCTCCCCCCCCCCTCTCTCTCTCTCTCTCTCTCTCCCTATCTCTCTCTCTTTTTCTCTTTCTCTTTCTTTTGAGGCAGGGTCTCACTTTATAGCCCTAGCTGGCCTTGAATTTACAAGAATCCACTAGCCTCTGCTTCCCAAATGCTGGGATTAATGTGCACAACCACACCTGGCCTGTTTGAGGAGATCTTATACTGAATTATAACATCAGATTTTCTTTGTAGATTATGTTGATTCCATATTCTTTTTGGTAAAATAAAAAGTCAAAATCAGATTATAGCCTCCAGCTAATATCATTGCAGAGTTATTCCTGGATATCCATGTATGTTATTATATATAAATGAACTCATATTTTCTGCTTTAGAAGCAAGGTTTTTAAAAATGTTTTTTATCACTGTTCATCATGTCAGTAATTTTATTGAAATATATTAATTTATTTAATATCTAAAGATCTAATGTATAGATATTAAGTTGTTTCTACTTTATAATATCAACAACCGTTTAAAGAATACCCTTATACATATTCATTAGACTAAAACCAATAAGTCAGAGTCTACAATCTTCTGAAAACCTTGTTTTCTTACTTCTGATTAAGGTCATCTTTTAAGAGCAAAATGTTAAAAAATGATGTCTCCCTCAATTCTTATTAGTTTACCCATTAAGAAAGTAGAGCAATTTTAGGTATGTTTATTAATGAATAAGTTTCCTTTCTGAATTGCTTATGTCTGAGATTCCACTTATTCATTGACCATTTTCTAATCAATTTTAGAGTGTATTGTCTAGGGCTATTAATTCTTCCTTGCATATTTTCCTATGTATTTTTCATAAGAGATTTTGTTATAGGATTTTTTTCTTTTCCCTTTTCTTTCCTTGTGTTGCATTTGTAGGAAAGTATGTGTACGTGTGTGTATACAAAGTCAGATGTCTTCCTAGCATGCCCTCTTCCACTCTCCCTCCCTCCCTCTCCTCCCTCCCTCTCTCCCTTCCTTTTTTCTCCCTTCTTCCCTCCCTCCATCCTTCCCTCCCTCCCTCCCTTCCTATGTATTTATTTAATTCCCTCACTTATTTATTTATCAAGCCACTGAACCTGGTTAATGCTCATTGACTGGGGAGACTAGGTGGCCAGTGATCTCTGGGAAGCTACCTGTCTCTGTCTCCCAGGTGTTAGGGTTACATGTCTTTATATCCAGCTTTTCATGTACGTGTTAGAGATCTGAATTCAGGTCCTCATGCTTGTAGGATAGGCATTTTACCAGCTGAGCCATTCCATAGCTCCTTTTTTTTTCTTTAAAAAATATCCATTTGCTCCAGAACTTGGGAAGCAAAGGCAGGCAGATCTCTGTGAATTTAAGGCCACCCTGGTCCCCATAACAAATTCCAGGCTAGTCAGGGCTACACAGTGAGGCCTTGTCTTAAAAAAACAAAACAATAGCAACAACAAAAAAACAGTAGTCAAATCCAAGGACCTTAAATTAACTCCAGGAATTAAGATGCAAATACTTACTTCAGAGTCCCTGGTGCACAGCCCTTGATTTCATTTCACTTCCTGTGGTTGTAGAATACTTGCATCAACACAGTTTGAACCCACAGCTGCTAGAATGGCCTTTCCCTGCTTTGATGAGCCTGCATTCAAGGCAAGTTTTTCCATCAAGATAAGGAGGGATCCAAGGCACCTGGCCATCTCCAACATGCCCTTGGTGAGTGAGAATGCCATCTGCTCCTGGGAAAACTGCCTTTCTCTGTGATGTCTGATCCTCCAAAAATATTTCATTTACCTTTGTTTTTATTTCCTGATGGTTATATTTAATAACTTTTCTCTTCACGTCCAACCAATGTGTTTGTTTTAAGCCACAATTTGTTGATAACCAAAGAAAACAATATCCCTTAAAAACTCAGGTTTTCAATATGACACATGGGAGGGAATTGTCAGGAATTCACACTAGGTTCAACAGATATTTCCCTTCACAAAGTGCTTTCACCTTCATTTTCTCCTGTGATATTTTATGAAAGCTTTGTCTAATAAAGCATCTCCTAGTGATGTCAGAAGTGACACCCATAAAGTCTCACTAGCATGACTACCTAAACATGAGCTGAACAAGGACAACATTATACATGCCAAAATGAGCAGGGAAAGCCCATGAGGGGCCTCAGCCCTACACAAAAAATTACAGGCAACTAAGGAATGCTGAGAGTGGGAGAAATAGTCTTTCCTAGGGAAGAGCACACCAATTGGTTGTTCAAAACCAAATGGCAAAATGACAGTAAATAAAGAAGCTGAAAACATATATACAAGCAGCATTAACAGACTGATCAGCTTGTATATTCATGTAACAACAATTAATGAAAAAAGTGGTTATGCATTTAAAAGAGAATGGGGGAAGGTATATGGGAGGGTTTGGAGGGAGGAAAGGGAAAGGGGAAATGATGTATATATTATAGTCTTAAAAATAAAATAAAGTAATAATAATTTCCATTTAATCTCTACTGTCATTAACTATACAGCAGATAGTTATATGTGTGATATTAAACAGGCATCCAAAAGAGCAGTAGTCTTTTCAGAGCCTCTAATGTCAGAGCTGAATAGTAAGAGTTGTGTTACCTCCCTTAAGAGAAGCCATTTCTCCAATTTCAAGGCAGATGTAAGTAGCACTCAGTCTGATTTTAAAGCGTGGCAGGAAGATGTCCATGCCAAAGTAAGAAAACCACTCACCTACTTTCTTTATCTCATGATCTACTGAGTCAAGCATGACTGCAGCTGTGATGCACCATTACCAGGAAATACATGTTTTTGCTGTGATTCTTAATTCGTTGACATTAGGTGAGACCCAGGGTAGAATTCTAAAGAGTTTCCAACTTCATTATGGTGACCATGACAAAGGGACCCAGAACACCAAATAAACATGACAACAGTACAACTCTTTTGAACACCTGTAAGATCCCGTTATCAAGCAAAATTCTGCCCACCCTAGAGTGCTGTGTCCTTTGCAAATCCTTATCATCTAGCTCTGTCCCTGTTCCCACTTTTGTATATAAATAAACAAATAATTAGGCTGTCTTGGTATAAATTTGAGATAGAAAATATACATTTTCATATTACAGTTTCCTACCCCAAGCACTGTTATGCCACTGCTCTGTAGCACAGATGTATTCTCTGAGAGTGCCCTAGCTCTAGGGAAAAAAAAAAATCAAGGAATTTGTGGAAAAATTCATAGGCTTGCAGATGGAAAGCAGGGAGCTCTAGAAATAGCACAAAGATAATGGCATCCTAGTCCACTGGGTATCCAGGATCTGCCTGGAAGCACAGCAAAGCCTCTACTGCCATCTTGTTCCTGGAGCAGGAAAGTCTCCCACTAATAGGAGTGGCCCAGCTTCCCACACAGATGTGGAGCTGAGAGGAAGAACAATGGGTATTTTGAGGGGCTAGAAAGACAAAGTTTAGGCAGTTGGCAGGGACTTAAGTACATCTTAGATTAGTACAGTTAGGTTGTTTTCCTATTAATTAGCACACCAAAATGGAAATTTTGGCTGAGTGTATATTGAAGCCATTTAAATGGAAAGGATAGCTTGAGATTCTTGAGGAGTAAAGCTAAGTTGTTTAGCAGCATTGGTTGAAATGACCGGAAGCTAACTGGCAAGTACCATACTTAGGGACTAGTAGGTGTTAGAAAGGCTGAGGGCACAAAAATGGGCAGGTGTGGGATCGATCATAGGAAAATGTCCATCTGCATGCTTTTCCCTAGTCTGGTCCTTTCCGTAAGTTCTCACCTCAATACTTATTGTGCTGAAGTATTAGGTTTTTCTCTGGGAGCATGCCTCTTAGACTGTAACCACAAACATGCAACTCTGTCTTCAAGGTTTCTTATACCTCGGTTGGACTTAAAACTCATTCCAATAAAACCAGGCTGAGACTGGAAGAGAATTTGCATATTAGACAAAGTAATAGGGCACTTTCAACTTCATAGAAAAACCAGAAGTTCTTTTTAGATAGTAAGTGGTTATGTACGTTTTGCCCAGTGTAGAGTGTACTTATATCCCAATAAAAAAGAGATTAAATCAAATAGTCTGGCCTTGGCATCTAAATTATAGTCAGATTTCTAATAGAGACTTTAAAAAGTAATTAAAGAAATATTGTGCTGTTCCCTTCAATATGTCTGTTACTTCTGGAGATTTATCTTTATAATGTGTGACAGTGTGTTGAACAATTGGAATACTTGGTAATTTACTCTGATAATAGGTGAAATCTGTGAATGTTGCCGAAGGACTCATAGAAGACCATTTTGACGTCACTGTGAAGATGAGCACTTACTTGGTGGCCTTCATTATTTCTGACTTTAAATCTGTGAGCAAGATGACTAAGAGTGGAGTCAAGGTGAGCATGTGATTGCCTGACAAGATGATCAACCTGTGCTGGTGTTCCTGTTTTCAAAACTGTAGTAGTCCTGCTTCCTGGGACTCTCTCAACCTTAGGGAAAACAGGATAGCATATGATTCTATTGTCACAAATACTTACCTGATAGCAATGCACTAATAGTAAAAATGTAGAGAGACCCTGGCCATGCATAAGTCATGAATTGCTAATTGGCTCTCTGACCTTGGCCATTTTTCTTGTGGAATGTAGATTATGCTTCTTTTAAATGTATAAGTTGGCCAGGCATCATGACAGAGCCGATCAGATCTCTGTGAGTTCAAGGCCAGCCTGGTCTATATAATAGTGAGTTCCAGGCCAGCTAGGGCTACAGAGTGAGACCTTGACTAAAAAAACTATCAACAAACAAAGAATAAGTAAGTAGTTTGGACTACATCTATGAGAGGTTTCTAAGCTTGCATCTGATTATAACTGTCTACAATATTGAAGGCAATGTTGTGGGGAGGAAAGAAGATAAAGTTACTTACTGTCTTGGGGTAGAGGGAGTCTTTAGGAAGAGCAATTTATGTCAGAGAATATTAGAATGCTGGAATAAAGCCCTGCTTCAAGCATCATTTGCGCCTGAGCTCAGCACTTCTGCCTTCACAATGCTGTCGCATGGCCCAGAAAGGAAACATTTTAAAGGGGAACTGAAGTTACTGTAATGCTGTCCCTGAGGCCTGAGTGGCTGGGTCACTCTGAGTTATCATCTGTTCTTCTAGTGCTTTGGATATTTGAAAGGAGAGTTAGTGACTGTTGCTTTGCATGTTTTCCTGACTCTATTGTGCTCATGTTTTTATAATGTCTAAGCAATGCTCACATTTTTCATCTTCCTTCTCTTCCTTGAAACACATTAAGTATACATATTTTATATCCTGGGCATGATCATCGTCATATCTGATGTTTTTGTGCATCTTGTTTCTGCAGGCTCTTGTTCATGGTATTTTATTTCTTTGCATTTCTTACGGGTTATTCCTCAGTCAAAAGTGGACTCTTCTAGAAAATGTGTCTCTACTTCTGCCAGGTGACAGAGTTCTTCCAATGCAAAGATTACTTTAAATGAGGGTATTAGCTTCAAGATATTAGGTTATCTAGTTACTGCAGTTTCAGCTCTTAAGTACTGTAAGCGTTCATTTTAAACTACAGTTTCTTTATTCTCCTTTGTGTAATACCAATGTATAGCAAAACCTTTCTTTTCTCCTTCCTTCCTTCCTTCCTTCCTTCCTTCCTCCCTCCCTCCCTCCCTCCCTCCCTCCCTCCCTCCCTTCCTTCCTCCCTTCTCTCCTTCCTTCCTTTTTTCCTTGCTTTCTTCCTTTCCTTCCTTCCTTGCTTTCTTCCTTCCTTCTCTCCTTCTTTCCTTCCTTCCCTCCTTTCTTCTTTCCTCCTTTCCTTCTTTCTTATCTTTTTTTCTTTCACTTGCAGTTTCTTTGAGAGAATTGCAATTTATTTTTAGTTTACCCATACACTAAGGAGGTAGCCTTTGGGATGTGGTTTTATGGAGGGTTGGTATCTCCTGCTGTATATATTTCTTGCCTTGACCAGGACCTGCATTCCACTCTTTGTCCCTAGATTCTGTCAATGCCATAAGAACCAGAGTTACAGTCCATCTGTGTTGGACTAGGATCCACAGGGGAAAGGCTGGCTGTGAGGCCCTGCTGACTTCCTAGGGTCAAGCTGACATCTTGCTATTGCTTTCTAAGTCATATTTATTGGCATATTATGAAAACATTTCAGAAAACTGCTTTAAGCCTATATTTGTAGCTTTTTGTCGTTTTCAGAAATGAAGATGTTTAGAAGCAGACAGAATTAAAATAATGGAATTCCCAAATGTCTTCTGTAATATTGACATCCATATCCCATAGTAAGGACCATTAAAGCCATTCTTCTCTCTGGTTGTGGGGGGAAACCACTCTGTTATTTGAATATCCTCCTGTGCCTTCCTCTTTAGGTCTCTGTGTATGCTGTGCCAGACAAGATAAACCAAGCAGATTATGCTTTGGATGCTGCAGTGACTCTTCTAGAATTTTATGAGGATTATTTCAGCATTCCATATCCTTTGCCCAAGCAAGGTAGTATATTATAGACATTTCCAGGTGGCATTTGATTGCCCCCAACTTAGATCACATTATATTATTATTATTATTATTATTATTATTATTATTATTATTATATTATTACTGCTGCATCCCCATGGTTCTCCACATTGCTCTTCACATAATGATGTTCCCAGCAAAGTTCAAACAACAAGTTGATCCTTCTGAGTATCCCCTCACCTCTGCTTTATACAATCAACTACTAATGATAAATCACGGCACAATGTACAATTCCTGGCAATGTGGCCTGAGGATGACTCTACATTCAGGTGATATTAGAGACAGAAGAGTGCAGAGGCTGCTTTTTTGTTTTTGTCATTATCAGTACATACTTGGCAGGAGAATAGAGAACAACTCAATATCCTTTTCTGAATGAGTACATTTGCCTATTATAAGAATAAGAAAATTGAGATTTTTCTATGAACCCTCAAAGCTATTGGGTATTTTAAATATATGTAGGTGTAGGCATCCCAAATACAGTGGATTATGGAGATGATTCTTTTTGATTGTTCAGTCCCCAAACTCATGGTCTAAATAGTAATGATGGAGCCAAGCCTGATTCCTCAGGCCTGTATTCCTAGGTACTCAGAAGGCTGAGGCAGGAAGATTGGAAGTTCAAGGTCAGACTAATAAATGGAGTGAGACCTGTCTCAAAATAAAAAATAAAGAGATGTGGGGATATATATCAGTGGTAGAGCACTTGTCTAGCACGCATGCACGGGGACCTAGGTTCAATTTGAAGTATTGCCAAATGAAGTCTCTCTCTCTCTCTCTCTCTGTCTCTGTCTCTGTCTGTCTGTCTCTCTCTCTCTCTCTCTCTGTGTGTGTGTGTGTGTGTGTGTGTGTATGTAGCAATCAGAAGGGATATCCTGAGAGGTTCTAGCCCAAGAATGAGTCACTTTGGTAGCAACATGATAGTCATGGAGCCTCTCTTTCTCCACAAGGAAAGCTTTCTCTCTGGAGCTCCCTAATTCTGGATGCATGGCTTAGCTTTTCATTGTATCCTAATACCTATCCATTCAGATGTTTATTTAACATGTTTTGGGGAGTATATAGCTGTGAGATTGATAACAAGCTATATTCCTTCTTGCCCAAGATCTTGCTGCAATTCCTGACTTTCAGTCTGGTGCTATGGAGAACTGGGGCCTGACAACATACAGAGAATCCTCTCTGTTATATGATAAGGAAAAGTCTTCTGCATCCAGTAAGCTTGGCATCACAATGATTGTGTCCCATGAACTCGCTCACCAGGTACAAACATTTAGTCACATGTAAGTTTTTTGATCTTTGGGAATTTCATAGGTGTATACAATAACATAAGATCATACCCATTCCTTATTTCTGCCCTCATTCATTTCTGGGTCCCCCTAGCAAAACATCCACATCCCAACTTCATATCTTCTTCCTTTTAAAAACAATTTTTTTGACATCCCACTAAATACAATTAGTGCTGCCCATAGGTACATGGGTGGATCCTTCACTGGAGAATAGGCGATCTAGCAGCCTCAGAGAAGAATGATTCTTAAGGTGACTTAACGTTCATGTCTCTTTTGGGACAAATGATGCTACTCATATAGTTACTTTGTTTATTTTGTCATTTCATAGAAGAGTTATTTCTTTAAAGCATTATGTTTCTTGATTTTTAATGAATGTTGAAAAGTTCTCATTTTTCCTCTGATAAATGTTTCCATTTATAAACTGATAGTCATTTTACATGTTTCTAAGTTTATTGAAGCTATTTCTAGCATAATACATAGCAGATAATACAATTTCTCTATAAATTTGTGAATAAGCAGTCATATTTTCCTTTCAGTGGTTCGGCAATCTGGTCACCATGGAATGGTGGAATGATCTTTGGCTCAATGAAGGATTTGCCAAGTTCATGGAGTTTGTGTCTGTCACTGTGACCCATCCTGAACTAAAAGTTGTACGTGGTTGTTATTTATGTTTTTATATCTTAGGTTAACCTGTTGTTTTTTCAATACTTCTGAAAAATACTCAGCATTTTTGATTTTATAATTTATAGAAATGATAGCTTCATGGAAGCTTAGAGATGAATCATGTTTGAAAATGCTAAATGAACTTTCTATATAAATGAAGTATTAAGTTGTATTTTCCCTTAACAGTAAAGAAATAGAGCTAATGATAGGCTGAGAGTTCTGTGCCATTTTCCAACTTTCAGGTTGCTCATTGCAATTTAAATATTAGATGAATATTACTGTTAATCTGCATACAAACCAAATTGACAAATTGTATGAGTTATGGCTGAAGTAACCATACATTACATTATCAACCTAGACTTTTAGATCACAAATTTAATGTTTTAGAACTTATATGTGTATTTAAATACCATGTGTTAACCTTGAGAAAATCATAAATAGCAAACAAAAATAAATTCACTTTCTATAAAAAATTAATTTTTTAGTATAATTTTCATTTATGGGTAGTTATTTCCCTTTTTCATATATCTATACCAATAATATGCTTATAAACAGTTGTAATTATAGGTACATATTATATTATATTGGCATGCATCATAAGTGTATCCCATTTCTACATCATCTTTAATAATAAAAAAAATTATAGATACATATTTGGCTGAATATGCCAAGTAAAGAAAGCTGAGGTTGGAATTTCCTACTAATTTATTGTCTTTCACTACATGGTGCTAAAGTTAAATATATATGCTTTGATGGAATCACTATACATTTTTACTTCTCTGTTTTTTGTTTTTTGGCTATAAGTGGAATGGTTTTGTTTTTAGTTTAACATGAGATTAACTTTATTCTAAAGTGGTAAATATCCAAAATAAATAAAATATAAATTGCTTACTTACAGCCACTGTTTCTTGGGTGCTTGGGTGCTCTTTTTAAAAAGCTTAGCAAGACTATTGTATTAATTCTAGAAATATGAAATCAGTTGATATAGAAATTGGAATTCTAGTCCCGTTACCACAGATCAAGCCTTCCTCTTTTCATTCTTCTCATCTTTCTTTCTCCCCTTTCTTTCTTTTTTCTATGTCAATAGGAAGAGCATTTCTTTGGCAAGTGTTTTGATGCAATGGAAGTCGATTCATTCAACTCCTCACACCCTGTGTCCACACCTGTGGAGAATCCTGCACAGATTCGGGAGATGTTTGATGATGTTTCTTATGAAAAGGTAAAAGCAGATTGCAGAGAAGTTTGGGCACTAAGTCCATTAGTAGTTGGATAAAAGGGTTATAGCTCAGGTATGGGATAGCTTTCTCTACATCAGGGGCAACCCAGATTTGATGGTTTTGGTCCTGACTATGCTAGCTGACATGAGCTCTTTCAGGTTGAACTTGTGGTTTTTCCATAATCCTAAAGATTAGATTCTGGTCAATTCTTTACTCTTTCTATGGTCGAAAAATTTCAAAAACTAAATGCAGCTGCATTGAAATGTATAAACTATAGATAACAATTATTTTTCTTATCTTTTCAGGGGGCTTGCATTCTGAATATGCTAAGAGATTATCTGAGCGCAGATACGTTTAAAAGAGGAATTGTGCAATATCTCCAGAAGTATAGTTATAAAAACACAAAAAATGAGGACCTTTGGAATAGCATGGCAAGTGTGAGTAGTGCTAGAGAGCTACCTTGTTTTTTTTTTTTTTTTTCCTGCATTGTGGTACTCCTTCACAAAGAACTAAAGTGCTTTCTACAGAAATGAGAGTGATGTTTTATGTTTGGTTTTAGATTTGCCCCACAGATGGCACACAAACAATGGATGGCTTCTGCTCTAGAAGCCGTCACTCAGCACCAACCTCAGTAAGTCTCTCTGTCTGTACCTGACCACCCATGCATGTTCTTCTCCATATTCTTTAAGGGGTATCTCTGTGCCAAACTTTTTGAGGTCCTCAGTTAAATCACTCTCATCCCATTCAACTTAAATCATTTAAACCAACGCAGGCTAACAGCCTTTTACAGATTTTCCTAAGAATTGTCTATGTAAGAGGGTGTCACAACCTTGGTGACTTCTCACAAACACTCATTCCTTTCACTCCTAACTCCCTAAAACAGTGGAGTTAGGAAAAGTTTCAGTGGTGAGCTGTGTAGATGAATTTCTAAATGGTCTTATTAGATAACAAACACAGAGCCAGATATAGGGGTGAAAGCCTTAGAGAGATCAGGGAAATAGAGAAAGCCACAGCTAACCTTGCTTCCAACTCGGCAGCTTCCAAATGTGAGTTACTCCCTGTCTACCCATGCCTATATGCCTTGCTGTTCTGCCATCTGATTTGCTCTCTCTGTTCAGCTACATCACTTCCTCTTCCTGCCCAGCTCTGTCACTTCCTCTTTGTCTGTACAGACCTCCAGACCTCCATGGTTAACTAGTGTTGGAATTAAGGCATGTGCCACCACACCTGGCTCTGTTTCCAGTGTGGCCTTGAACACACAGAGATCCTGCCTGCTAAATGATAGGATTAAAGGCGTATGCTACTACTGCCTGACTTCTTTGTTTACTTATAATGCCTGGCCTTTTTCCTTTGATCTCCAGGCAATCTTTATTAAAGTACAAATAAAATATCACCACATTTCAGCACAAATAAAATATTACCATAGGGCTGGGATTAGATTCTATCAGTAAAGAAGGTATCAGTCATTTCCAGAGCGCGGCATTTGAAAAAAATCACACAATGGCAGAGAAAAGTCTTGGACACTTACTATGCATCAGGCTCATGCTAAACAATTAGGCATATAATCTTTATTCCTCTCAACAGACCCATGAGCCAAGTGCTATTACTATCCAGGTTTTTAAATGTGGTAATGGGAATGTGAGATCTAAGAGTATATGGTGGTACCTTGCATGAATTCCATTTTGACTCATGTTTTCAATTGTTCATCAATCAAGGATTCATACCAGCTGAGCCACAAAATAATCTGACTCTGTTTAATCTGGATTTGTGGAATATTTTCATAGAAAGCTATGGATGACTAGAAATTCAACCAAATTTACTTACCATATTTTTATTTTCTTGGCCTTTTTGCTTTCAGAGATAGCTTTATTAATAGTTTCTAGTTAATACAATAGAATATTTTATCCTTTATCTTTTCTTAAAAGCCTTTTTAGTGCCAAGAAATACATCTTTTGTACTTCCAACTGCTGGTCAAGTACAGGCCGTCTCAGAGCTATCGCTTTAGAAGCACAGCCCATTCACTGAATAGTTTTCCTACCTTGGTTGTCCAAGAGCCAGCACAGTCATGCTGGTGTTGAAAACCTTGCTGTCCCCTTACCCCCTTCTCTCATTCTGTTGCTCATATGCCAGCTTGCTGTCCGATGGATATGCCTGGCCATTAGCTGTGCAAAACAGGGCCAACTGTACTACCAGTCAAGACACATAGGTTTAGAGGAGATGATGAAAAGGTAGACAGTTGAAGGCTCAATGTCCAGGGATAGGAGGGAAGGGCACCTAGGAAAGGAAGCTAAATTACAGAGGAGACGGAAGTAGCTAGTGGGTCCGGGAGCACAAGCTTGCCTCTTGTCCTCAGAGGTGGATCTCAGATGATGCATTGCCCCCCTCACCCCTTTGTCTATAAACCAGCACTGGCTTCAGGAAGGCGTAGATGTGAAGACCATGATGAACACGTGGACACTGCAGAAGGGCTTTCCCCTGATAACCATCACTGTAAGAGGGCGGAATGTGCACATGAAGCAAGAACACTATATGAAGGGTTCTGAAAGCATCTCAGAGACTGGGTAATGTTCACAGGGAGTATCTCCTCCTGGGTGGGATAAAATCTTCCTTTTGAAGTCCTGCCCTCACCCCTGTCCTTAGAATGTTTCAGCTGAATCTGTGTGTTCCACTCAGATAACCTATACCCCTACCTTCCCAAAAGGATTAAAGGGGCTTTGAATCTCTGTAAAGCTGGCAATCTATCATTATATCATTATTTTTACATTCTCCTGTTTAGTAGTTTAATAGGATGTCATTTCTAGTTGCTGGCTTGAAGTCAGATCTGATCTAAGTAAGCAGCTGCTGCTAAGTTGCAGTGGGGCCTGGCATTAGTTGGAGCTGACAAAAGAATTTATGTGATTTCCAGGAATTACAAAACACTCAATTCTTTTCTTTAGAATTCTGAGTTACATTCTGGAGTATTATTAGAAATGACATGTTGCTACTTGTAAGATATTTGCTATATCTTGAAATAATTTCAATTGGAACATTACAAAAGTGGTGAAAAGAATTTCTACATATACTTTACACAGATATGTGTTAATTCTATCACACTTGATTTATGATTCTCTATACATATTAAAAAAGAAAGCATTACATAATATATAACTTACATGTGTGTAGGCAATATGAATGCAATAGCATATGTAACATATTACATATATTATATATACACCAAGATATACAGAGAAATTATATTTTTAAGAAAATAAAAACATTCACTTATGTAATCATAGCACAATTAGGAAATAAACTTAATACAACATTTAATCTATAATGCCTATTCAGTTTTTCAAGTTGTCTCAAAATGTCTTCATATCAAAATAGAAAAATTTTACTCCCAAATTTAGTATATTTCATGTTTTGTTGCCACATAATTTTGGTTTCACTTTTTTGTAGCAATTTTCCAGTCCTTGTGCCCCTTGACATTTTTGAGTTTTCTAGTTCAGGGGAGTTACTTTACTAGAATTTTCTTCAATTATATTTTCTTCTACTATTTCTTCTTGGTCAGATTCAGGTTGTTTGGAGAAACTCCACAGAAGAGAAGTGACATGTATCTTTTGGGTACATGATTAAGGAGGGACATGATGACAATTTGTGCCATTACTAGTGATCATTATTTGAGGTTAGGCTTTGGGCTGCTAGTCATTCATCACTTGAGTCTGCTTTTCTCTTCACATTAGAGTCCGAGAAGGAGGAATAGTAGCTGAGCTGGAAGGCAGCCTCAGCATGGTATCAGGTCTTGGCAAAACCTTCTCAATACCACCATTTTAAACTGGCACCTGATGGGTAGATGTCTTAAAAGCTGCTTGTTGAGTGAATACAAACATTGAGCAATGCATACTTGATTTCTTTTAGGTATCTGTGGCATGTTCCCCTGACATTCATTACCAGCAGATCAGACTCAGTCCAGAGGTTTTTGCTGAAGACAAAGACAGGTAATTTGTCACAGAAATAATTAGTTTAATTCAAATAAGAAGTATAGAAGTGGGTAGAAATTAGCTACTGAACTTCTCTAGGTATTGATTTTGGCTAAAAGAAAAGGGAATAGGTGAGAATTCTTGCTAGACATTGGTAGAGTGCTTATCTTGTAAATGTGAGGACTTGAATTTGATCTCCAGCACTTACACTAAGAGAAGGTGAGTGTTGCAGTACATGCTTGTAACCCCAGGTGCAGACAGTAGATCCTGGCTGTCAAGTCCAAGGCCAGTGAGTGTTCCTATTGCATCTCTTTTCCTGACAAAATATACAGAATCTGAGGAACAGTCAGTGTCATCCTCTGGCCTCCACATGTGTGTATGAATGTATACATACATACATACATACATACATACATACATATATATATGCCCTCACATACAAAAATAGAGATTGGATTTTTACAAGGGAAATATACTGACATAAATTCAAACAGTAGAGTGCTATAACACTAAAAAGAATAGATTAGCGATGAAAATTCTCATTATTTAGTTAACAATACTGGGAAATATTTGTTGGTCAGAAATGTGGTTGCATCATTTCTATAAATATCACAGAACCTGTGTCTAATGTGACCATTGACATTTGTCTACTGGGTCGCTATTATTTGATTTCTACAAGAAATAAATGAACTCCGTTTGTTTAGTATTAGAGTTTTCCCCAATCTCCTTGTATAACCTCAGATCAGAAAAGCATCTCTCCATCCAGAGAATAAATAGTTCTGAGACTTAGCCTGTTTGCTCTAGATGTGCTCATCCTCCCAGAAGCAGTGGAGTGGATCAAATTTAATGTGGGAATGAATGGCTATTACATTGTTCATTACGAGGATAATGGATGGGATTCTCTGAGTGGCCTTTTAAAAGCAGCACACACAACGATCAGCAGTAATGACCGGGCAAGTCTCATCAACAACGCATTTCAGCTTGTCAGGTAATGCAAGCTGCATCAAGTTGTAGTTTATTACTGAAAGCAGCTGTTTCTGTTCAAATACTTGATTTCAATCAAAAAGTGATTGGTTGGTTGATTGATTGATAATGAGACTTTGAAAGGCATCCCCTCCCCACGTTCTTCTAACAGTGCAACATAGCTTTAGCCTGAAGCTTAATCTTCTGCTTTAACTGCTAGTTGATGTAAAAAACAGAATCTGTATTTTAATCTTTCTCATTAATAATTGAAATCAGGCTAAGGCAATGTGCAGGAAACCTTGAGACAGTATCCTGGTGAGCCTCTTGCCTATTTCTACAGCTTTATCTTGCAGCTTTTCTGACTGTGTGTCTTTAAGCCTCTTGAAGCCTTTGTGTGAGACTAATTAATGCAGGTCCAATTGTTTACATTGCATCTACTGTCAAAAATATAGATTTCTCTTTTAAAGATAATGAATTCCACTGCATCTTTAGGCACTATAGTTTATATAATTTGGCCCTATCAAATGATCTTTGACTAATCGAGGCTAGAGTGAACATTACTTATTCTTCCTTGTTTTATGAAGGGGAAAGGAAGTATTTTCTGAGCTGAAAACACAAATACCTTCATTATTTAGGCAGTGATGAAGTTCTAAGGGAGCCAGCTGGGTGGGATGAGACAGCTCTGTAATTCTCAGATTTGCTATCTCTCTACCCTGAATGTAGAATCTTTCCTTCTGGTTCTCTTATTACTACATTGAGCCTCCCAAGGTGAAAAAAGCAGAAAGAAGTTAAAGGTTGATTAACCAGTTGCTTTTTCCTGCACCCAAGTTTTTCTGCATGGCCTACTGTAACTGGAATTCTAGAGGGGTCTGATATCCAGTATATTTTGCGAACAGAGAAAATGCATTTATGACAGGGATTCTTATTTTTTCTAAGCAGCAATCTCCTGGATCCCTGAGGATCTTGGATCGAAGTTCTTAGCTTAGTCTGAAAGTTCAACACACAGTTTGGTGTATTCTATGTGACAGACACTAACATGCATCATTTCATCTTAACCACAAGCTGGACTTTATAATTATGAATCTTCTTCCCCAATGTCATCTTGTGTGCATCAGAAATGATTCTGTTCCAAAAATTCATTATTTATTGCTGCTTTCTAGAAGATTATTGCAATATATGTTGAAGCAAAAAGATTATCTATAAACCTGTAACCATGTTGTCTCTTGCTCAGCATTGGAAAGTTATCGATTGAAAAAGCCCTGGATTTAACTCTGTACTTGAAAAATGAAACAGAAATTATGCCTGTATTCCAAGGTCTGAATGAACTGATACCCATGTATAAGTTAATGGAGAAGAGAGATATGAGTGAGGTAGAAACTCAATTCAAGGTAAAACCTAAGATAAATCAAATAGCTATAGTATAATTGCATTTTTTCTTATGTATATACACCTACAAATACACGTATATGTTCTCTTATACATTAAGGAAAAGCAAAAATTCAGTTTGGATTGACTGAAGCAAATGTTAATCTTTTGATACTAAATAGGAATAGTGGTGTTAGATTCTGTACTTAATTTTTTCCCCCACAAATATTTTATTTCACTTGACTTATCTGCTATAATTTCTAATCATGATATTTTCCAGGATTCTAAGTGGCACTTGAAGAAGAAACCCAAAGTTGCTGTTTTTGAGCAAATGTGACAATTTGTACACTTTGCTCATAAAATTTAGTCTGTTCATCCTAATTTATATAAATGGGAAAAAGTAGATGGGATTCCTTTAGAAAAGATTACTGTGATAATGTTAAAATATGTTTTTTTTATTTTTTGTTCCTTTTATAACTGAATTAAATAGAGTTGCAAACTTTTAAAGAAGTGGAGTAGTTCCATTTGATTTTTTTTTTTCTTGTAAGGGGACCACTCACTCAACATTATTAAAATACATTCAATATGTGTTTATGTGATTTTCTCATCACCAGGAGAACTAGGCTGTGTGAATATGAAATGCTGTGACAGTACTCATATTTGTCACTGTTCCTGTTGTGTTCCTCAGGCCTTCCTCCTCAGGCTGCTGAAGGACCTTATTGATAAGCAGACATGGACAGACAAGGGCTCTGTCTCAGAGAGGATGCTCAGGAGTCAGCTCCTCCTCCTTGCTTGTGTGCGCAAGTATCAGCCCTGTGTGCAGAGAGCAGAGGGCTATTTCAGAGAGTGGAAGGCATCCAATGGAAACATGAGGTCAGTTCACACTGAACATGCAGTCTATTGATGTAAAGAGTATCCTTCCTGTTCCCCATATTGGCACTAACCACAGGGAGAGGCTGGATAGATAAGTCTTCCCTATTTCATGCTTTTGGAAAATAAATTGCCTTCTAAAATTTATACATTTCTCAACTTTCTATTTTAAGAAATGCAACAAAGAACTTCTGTGCCTAAAGATCAATGTCTAGGGTTGGAGTTAAAACACAATTTCAGTTACTCCTACTTTGTGTAGTGTGTATAAAATGATTGAACTGACATGACCATGGCAGGCTGAAACAGAGGCAATTATTTTTACAGGAATTTATGTGGGGGGACTTTCCCCCACTTTTCCCAGGGTACTCTTGAGGAGAGAGGATAAGAAACTTGTAGATGGAAATGATAGGCCTAGCAAACGAGAGGAAAGACAGAAACACAGGGTAGCTTTGGGAAGACCTGGGTTAATACCCAATGGCCCAGAACTTTATTCAAAAGGGCTTTTTATAACAATGCCAAGGGGTGAGGCAAAGGACCTCCCCCTGCTAGATACAGCCAAGTGTAGACTCTTCCAAACACCTGGTACCCAGGCCCATGGCACAGTCATCCTCTTATGCAGCCCTGCTGAGTAAAGCAAGCTCAGATCTCACTAGGATATCTCTGTGGGCTCCCACAAGTTGATATCTTCAAAAACTCTACCCAGAGAATCTAGTAATTGTTCATACTGGAAAGATAGGCTTTGCAGTGTCTGCAACCCCCACTCCTGCTAATCTGTTTGTATTTAGAATTTAATGGCATCCAGGAATCATTTTTGGTAACCATTTGGATATTTGCCTTTAAAGGACATGTTTACTAACCAAAATGCTATTGAGATTCCTTTTCTTCATGGAATAAATTTTGAGTCTCAGTTGAATTTCTTTCTTATCATTTAAAAGATAGATGCGTAGGCATTTATGAGTGACATTTATTACTGTATTTCTGAGGCTGCTTAAATCTAATTTTAGACATTTTTTCTTGCCTCTTTTCATAAAGTGTAACAGAAGGAAACAGTATTCATGCTTTCAGGAATGAACCTGTGAATATGAAACTAGTTCATAACTGCTCCCTATTATGTATCCTAGAGCACTTGCTCTGTCTCAGGACCTTATGTGTCTGTTCTTTCCCACAGCCTCCCTATTGATGTGACCATGGCAGTGTTTGCTGTGGGGGCCCAGAACACAGAAGGCTGGGATTTTCTTTATAGTAAATATCAGTCGTCTTTGTCTAGTACGGAGAAAAGCCAAATTGAATTTGCCCTCTGCACAAGCCAAGACCCAGAAAAGCTTCAGTGGTGAGTCATGGTGTGATTGATGTCCATGTAGCCAAGGGAAACTGAATAAAAGAGATCATTCTGGCTCTTGTTCTTGCTCTATTACCCATGAATTATTTATTTTGCTGGAAACACTGTGTAAGTGGGCACACATCTACTAAGGATGCCAAGTAATCAGAACCAAGTATTGTGTGTCTTTACAGCAATAACGTATTTGAAATATTTAGGGATACTTGTAGAAACTGTTTTGAGGAAATGAGACCTATATATAGTATAGGTCTTTTAACACTATATAAATGTTATTAAACACTATATAAATGTTAGCTCTTAATCATGTTGCTATAGTGGATTTATCAAGACTCTACCAGTTTACCTTTTAGGACTTTATTATTGGCAAACAGATTTTTTTCTTTTATAAAAGTTATTTTATTGAACATTTTTGTTACTCTTCAATCACTTAATTAATTACTAACATTTCTTTTAATCATTATAGGCTTCTAGACCAAAGTTTTAAGGGAGAGATAATAAAAACTCAGGAATTTCCACATATTCTCATACTCATTGGCAGAAACCCAGTGGGTTATCCATTGGCCTGGAGGTTTCTGAGGGAAAATTGGAATAAACTTGTACAAAAGTAAGTAGTGTCAAAAATTGTGGTAGGACTGCATGCACTCTTCCATCTCCTTCCTTCCACGTGTGCTTACCCTTTGCTATTTATATGAAGGAGTATCTTAGGTTGAAGATAACTTTTCAAATTAAAATATCCCTATGTGATTTACAGCATGAGTCCATTGCTAACCCATGCATCTGGATAGTAATGCTTCCCACCCCAGCTGCTTCTTCCAGTACTCTTGGGCTTGCCTGAAGCCTCCCTCCTCCAAAGTCAGTGTAGCTTTCCCCTAACTCTTACAGCACTGCCTAGAGCTGTCATTTCCTTTATGTTCTTGATCTTTTAATTACTCTTGGTATAGATTACATTTTACAAATAGATTGTTTAAATGCTATATACAAGACACTTAAAGTGTAAATTGAATGGACACCTTTTGTCATTTTCTAGGTTTGAACTTGGCTCACCGACCATAGCTCACATGGTAACGGGAACAACAGACCAGTTTTCTACCAGAGCTCGCCTTGAAGAGGTAAAGGGGCATGTGTGTGAGAAATTCTTTCTTTTGAACTTAAGTGTCAGTTAGCTATTAGAAAAAAGCAGGAACAAGAGGTGTGGTATTCTGAGAATGAATCTGGTCATTTGATGCAATTTTTGAGTTCCAGTGTGCATGCATCTCATGAGACAAGCTTTGCTCTGCAATTAAAAACTTGGACTTTGCCAGGTGTTACGGCATATGCTTTTAATCTAAGCACTCTAGAGGCAGCAGCAGGCTGTGAGTTAAAAGCCAGCCTGGTCTACAAAGCAAATTCCAGTTTAGTCAGGAGTATATAGTGACACCTTGTCTCAAAACAAAATAAAAAAACAACAAAAACCTTCAGCTTAAAAAGAAAATGACTCAACACAATTGGCCCTCACTTAAAGAAGTTAAAAGTGAATCCTAGAGGTGCAGATGGACAATATGCTGACCACCTATTGTGGAAGAGGCAGGGAGGGTCCAGGTGTTTCCGGATCTAAAGTCATGTTTCTCTTTTCACTTATAGTATCATATACTTCTCAAAAGAATTTTAGGCATCTACAAGGTTCATCTGTAAAATAAATGTTAAAGAATGAAAAACTACATAGAAGATAGGAGATAACTATATGAGGGACCTACTACTTATTGCAATGACATTTGACAATTATCACAGAGCTTCCTAGTGGTCAGGCAAAAATAACAAATTGGTATGAAACTAGTCAGAGGGACTAACAGACATATAAATTCTACAAAAGGGGACTTTCTTCCACCCTTCTAAGCAGCGAGGCACATCTGAATTGGGTATTCAGCTGAATCTGTGTGACAGAAGACACAATCTGGGGTCAAGGAGAAGTGTTAAAAACTGACTTTGCTAGAGCTTGTGTAGAAGTCCACATTTCAGCCATGACACCATAATGGGCTCAAGGATAAACGAACTATTTTAGATAATAAGTGAAGTGAAATTATTGATGTCTTATTAAGTTGTTGAGTGCCCACTGTAATGAGGATTCAATCTTGTGTCCTGCAGCAGTAGACTGAGCTGAAGCATAGGGTGGGGCAGAGAGAAGGGAATGTCTCCTCTCTCCCCCAGCCACTGGACTTTCAAGTAATTTTAGAACAACTCTGCATCATTACTCACTGGAACTTGATCTTTCTAAAAGTCACTCTTTCTCCACCTGCTATTGGTAAACTCATAACATGGTGTTATGATATGGGTTTTTGAGGACTTAGCTGTCTGGAATTCATAACTAATAAAACATCTTGTACTATACTTCCTTCTTGACTCCAAAAAAATGGATAAGTGCTGTGAAAATTTATGGGTTGTTGTTACAAACTCTTGAAGGTGACAGGAAATAGTACTATTTTCAGTGCTTTGACAAAGGCAGCCTGTCCATCATTTGAGCTTAAGGATTCAGATACCCAGGGATGCAACAAGAACAAAGATACATTTTGAGGAGAGAGTGCTGCAGTCTCTTATCTTTCTTATCCCTCCATGTAGATTTAATCTGGAGGGAATAAAGCAGGAATTGTGGATTGGAGTAAAAATATTGGCAAGGTTTGGGATCTTACCACCATAACTTACTAAGAGTCCCATTTCTTTATAGTGTTGGCAGTAATAAAGGACAGGCTCCAGAAAATGACTGCACTTATGTCATTGATAATGTTTTTCTTGGCAAAGAAGATACTCTGTACATTGTGCTTTTCAAATATATTGAAAAACTTAAGTCTTTATCTGTGTATATGTAACAGAATCCATGTTAATAGTCACACTTTTGAACCTTAATTATGAAATGGTAAACAGTAAAGACTTTTAAAGTCTGGCAACTGTGAATAAATAAAAGAGCTACAGAATAAAAAAGAACCTGACATCATGTGGCATGAGTTCATTTTGTGTAGCCCAAACTTAAGTTATACATAATCATATCCAGACCCCTTGGACTTCCTTCTACATGGAGTTCTGGCTCTACTTTTCTTTTAACTGGCTTTAAATAACCATTTGCTTAATGTAACAAAACTAATGTTTAAAATTCACCTTTTCCTCCCAAGGTAAAAGAATTCTTCATGTCCTTGAAAGAAAATGGTTCTCAGCTCCGTTGTGTTCAACAAACTGTTGAGACCATTGAGGAAAACATACGATGGATGGATAAGAATTTTGAAAAAATCAGACTATGGCTGCAAAAACAAAAGCTGGAAATATAACAGTTTGTTTCTTACCAAGTTCCTGTGATTTGTAATCAACAAAATTTTGTTCAATTTGAGTATTTTCAAACTAAAGATAGTTGTTTTGGCTCCCACTGAAGATATTTTCTTATTTCATTTCACTTGACCATGTCTGAGAAAAGTTTGTCTTCAGTGTCTGTTGCTGCCATGGGTCTGGCCGACAGTTATGGCCCTGCAGTGTAAACCCAAGTGCCCAGTTCCTTGCCACAGAAAAGCCAAGGGGCTTCTTCTCATTTCATACTTCAGCCCTGCAGCTCGCAAACCCTGTGCCTCCTGTGTCGGTCACTCATCAATGTCTCTTCAAGACTGTGGCTAGTGAGGCACATGTGTAGCAAATGCTTGGATCGTTAGCCACACTGGAAAACAGCTGTGCCGCAGCCCTCCTGTTGCTCGCTCTAAGTCTCCTGTCCATCCTGTCTTGCTGGCTTCATGTCTGGGTGCTGCCTTGCAGGGTCCAGTTAACCAGGCATCTTTGCCCTCTGGGTTTTTACTGATAGACGATTCTAAGACTCTGGAGGGAATGGGTGGAGGCATTTATTTCCCTGTGTTTATGTCTGGCAGGTTTTCACAAGTCTTCCTCCTGAGAGATAGTCTTCTTTTCCACACAGTCCTTTTCTATTTCTTGTCTCTAGTAACTGCTCCTCATCCATTCAGGGCAAGGGACAATCGTGGGAACCTGGTGATACCAGTCGTGGCAATACTGGTCATTTTTACATACTCTACTTAAACCTTTGTAAAAAAAAAATGTGCATCTAGAACCCTCCTCAGATAAGTCTAAATATGATAGCCACCTACTTCCTTTGGAACCTCACTCCTAAAAAAATAGAGTGCATTCAATTCTGTATCAGAAATACCCTTCATTTTAAGATACACTGGAGAGTCACTGATCCTAAAGTAGGGAGTTGTGTTTTAAATTCCTGAATGACTCATATGGCACTTATTGAAAATATATTATTGAAGACTAATAAAGGATAATATGAATAATGTACTTATATTAGTACAAGGAAAGAATTCTTTAAGTCTTACATAAGAATTTTTAGATGAATGGCATGTATTTCAGGATAAATGAGTATGACTGATAAGAACAATGTCAAAATAGAGTGCTGTAATATACTATGGAATAGAGATACTGTGGGGCTGGGGACTCAATTATCATATTTTCATTGCTCTAAAAAAATACCTTAAATCAGCTCAAACGAAAGATTTTGGCTCAGTGCTTTTAATCTGTGGTTTGCTGGATCTCTTGTTAACTGGTCTATGGTGAGACATTATTGCAACCATAACAGTTACCAGGGAAGAGTGCTTACCTAATAGTGGCCAGAAAATAAGAAGAAGAGCCACTGTGTCTGGGTACACAGTGTACTGTGTCACAGCATACTCCCACAGACTGGACCTACTTCCATCTACCTCCTAATAGCCCATTCAAATATGAAGTCATAAATGCAAATAGACTGCAAATAGATTAACCCACTAAAGAGCTGAGCCCTCATGATCCAGTCCTCTCTCTTACTATTGCCACCAACTGGGAGCCAAAACTTCAACATGGGAGTCTGCTGGAGGGATACTTCATATCAAAACTACAACGAATGTGTTTACAATTCTATATTTTTATAGTGACTCCATGTGATGGCTTGAGAATAAAATAAAAATAAATCATTTGTAATTTTTTCCACAGACTACATCTAAAAAAGAACACATAGCCAAGATTTTCATGTAAAATATTTTCCTTTAATTGCATTTTATATCTTGATTAATGAAACACAAATACTGATTTTTGCTTTGGTCACTTACACTTTTGGAAAATCCTATTTTCTAAACAGATAAAATATTACATGTGCAGCAACATTTTGGTAATAAAATCCATCTGTTCTTTACTTCTAAGGAGATAGCTGCAATTGTTTTCTCTTGACTAGATGGATTTAAAAAGTAAAAGGCAAAAAAGAATGAAAAGGACTTCTTTAGTTCCATGGCTTATGCAAGTCACTGTGAGTTACTAGTTGAGGATATTCCCAATTAAGAAAAGTATTATAGGTACCTTAAGTGTATGTATGATTTTATAGGCACTCTTAAATTTATGTATTTTGTTACATCATTTAAAAATATTCCTATATGTGTATGGACGATTGTATACTACAGCCATAGCCTTGGAGGTATATTTGTCAATGTCAAAGGTTTCAACATGTTTTTAGAAACAAAAAGAGCAAACACCTATATTGCCCAGATCCAAGTATCAGACACCAATGGGTTCAAATCTCTCAGGGAGTGTATTCTTTTCTTGTCAGTTCCTTGAAAACAGAACAGTACCACCCTTTTTATGAGACTGGGAATTCAACACTTTCGTAGGTAGAATTTGACATCTAAAAGGTGCATGGATGAAAGTCCTTTTCGATGCAGTTAACAAGTATCATGTTCATTATGAGTGTTATTACTTTTGCTTAGTCTTACCTGCCACCAGGAATCACTGGTGATGTTAGTTATGTTTAGTAAAGTTAAATAAAATCCTAATAAAATCTTTGCATTGATGGAAAAGAAGGCTGTGGTCTCTGGAAATGAGAAAATTAAAGTCTGGTTTATATATATTGACATTTTTTTTTCCAGCATTCAATGTCAGGAAGTATAGATGGAATTGTTTATCAAAATTCCATCAATAATATCAGTTCAGTGCTCAGAAAAATCTGAGATACCATTCAAAGATGTTAGGATACCTTAACCTGCTATGGTATAGAAGCAGATTTTAAATTTCAGTATATATATATATATATATATATATATATATATATATATATATATATATATATACTGTATGTATGGGTGTATGTATGTTATTTTAAAGAAATTCATTTTTGTGTTTGGTAAATTTGACTTGCATAAAACCACATATAGACAGTGTGGCAAATGACTCTAAGCAAATGATTGCAATCTGGGGCTCATGCAGAGAGTGGAAACCATAGTTTAATGTTATGGTAAACCAGTATAGTTTAAGCCACATGAATATTCTAAGAATTCCAACTTTAGTGTTGAAACTTGCTGTGCAGTGACATCATTAGCCTGTGCTTTGCTCTGCTGCTGACTTAGTTCAAGTCTCAGTGTGACCTCTCTGACCATGAGTAGAAGTCCTCATTCCTAGTAAAGGAGAGATCAGGTACAAAAGGAGACTAGTGCTTCCTGGTTTGCCCAGGTTATCTATCAATTTATTACTAGCAGCCCCAAAGGAGTTATGTGCCCAACATACAATATTTTATACTTGACTTATCAACATTAACCCAAAGATACATCAAATACAGTTCAAAAGCCGAAGAGGAAAAGAGGTAATAAGAAATCAGAATACTGACAAAAGATGAGAGCATTATTTTTCAAATGCTAAAAACATTAAGTGCAAACCAAAACTACTAATGAGATTTATAGGCACTGTATGTATAATGTGCAAAAGTTTGCAAAGGTTTTCTGGTTTTTTTTTTTTGGTGTTTTAAGAAACTATGAAATATATTTCTTACAAATATAAAGTTTCCTTCTCCCACCTAAAGGCAATTTAAAATCTTTGAAGTTTATCCATACTCAATACAGTAACACAGGTAAACCAGACAAATTCATTTTCTTTTTGGAAAAGAATAACAAACCAATGTTTAAGATGTCAAAAGACGTAACAAATACCACTGTCTAGAAGCCACCCAGAAAAGTTGTCACCAAAGCCGTTGTTCTTCAAAAGTCACCATCCACCAGCTGAAGAACTTCTATTCAGATACCCTGAAAATACAAGTATATATGAATGGGTTATGAATATAAAATCATCACTTAACTGAGAAAATATGGAGTAGTTGGTGTACTGATTTCTCTATAGGAAATGAAATGGATCATGGTAAAAGAGCTGGGCCTGATTTTATCCATATTTTTCTTTTGAAAAATTCCCACTTTAAAATTTCATTTAGGTGTGTATGCCACACTGTGCGTATTGGAGTCAGGGGGTAACTTTTGTGGATCTACCAGGTGCGTCAACAAGGGAACTTGGGTGGTCAGGCTTGGTGCCAAGCATCTTTATCTGCTGAGTCACCATGCCAGCCCCATTTCAATTTTTTTTAGGATTTGTTGAGCAAGCAGTTTCATTTTATGACTTGTAGGAAAGCCAGAGCCCATCTATTGAAGGATAGGTCAGAATCAATCATTGTTCTTTCCAAAATTGAGACAAATAAACAAGGTTAAAAAGTTTAAACTGTCTCTATTTCCAAACTCTATCATTTCCACCACTCAGCATGATTGGTATTTCAGATATCAATTAATGCCATTTTGCTACAAATTGTAATATGTTAATTTGCTTTGCAAGAAAAACCTGTACAGAATCATCTGGATTTCAAAGATTCCACTAGCTTCTGGTGTATGATTTTCTTTAAAAATCTTAAAAGTCTGAGTACCTTAAAAGGTTTTTTTGTTTGTTTGTTTGTTTGTTTTATTTTTTGTTTTCCAAGACAGGGTTTCTCTGTGTAGCCGTGGCTGTCCTGGAACTCACTCTGTAGACCAGGCTGGCCTTGAATTTACAGAGATCCACCTGCCTCTACCTCCTGAGTGCTGGGATTAAAGGTGTGTGCCATTGAAAGGACCAAGCAGATGCCATAACAGGCTGCTCAGTCTTCTCTCAGAGATCAGGCCTCAATTTCAGTTTCCTGAGACTTGAGCAAGCAGTTTCTGGGAGGGCCATGAACAAAAGACTGCTTAAAGTTTAGCCAGATGTTTACTTTCTGGGGCCCCTCACCAACTTAGAGTTATGTGCAGTATGTGCTTGACCAGCCAGCCCCCATGGTGGCTCAAGGACAAAGCCTGGGACTTGTGCTGGACTGCCCCCAAAGTAATAAATTGTAACCACCAACCAGTAAATTCAAAGGTTACATACCCTCACCCAATTAAAAGAGAACAGAGATAAAGATAAACCAATCCGAGTTGCACCCGTGCAAAACTCCCCTAACCCCCCTGAAGGGCTTGTGGATTTTGCCTTTAAAAAGCTAGCCACACAAAGAAAAAGCAAGTTCCTCCTGGCCTCACGACTACGAGTGAGTGCTTTGGATCGAGCTTCCCTGTCCGCGGCTTGTA